CAAGCAAGCTTTTGGTTAATTTAATTTATATTGCATTATTGAATATATATTTAATTTTGGTGGTTAATTTATCTGGTTGTATTTGGTCATATTATATATGGTTTTATATATTTTTATTATATGAGATGTTTTAACAATTTACTAATTTTATTGTTCTTATCTGTTTTATTGATTGTGTCTCTGTGCTGGTTTCAGCATTTGCAAACTGCACAGATTGCTCTTGGGTAATGGGATAGCAAAGAAGTGGAATAGAATAAATAAATACGAATAAAAAAATAAAGCTAAGAATGAGCTGAGGCTACCAAGGGATGCTAAAAGCAACAAAAAGGCTTTTTTCAGATATTTTCACGTTCAATGACAGAGAAAGGAAGTTCATATCTTTAGGGCTTGATGAGCTGCATCCTAGAGTAATAAAGGAACTGGCAGAAGAAATCTCAGAATCATATTATCTTTGAGAAATCCTGGAGGACGGGTGAAGTGCCATATGTCTGGAGGAAGGCTATCCTAATAAATAAATTAGCAAAATGTCAGCTTGATAGAACTACTGTTAGTTGGATCCACAACAGCCTTCAAAATAGGTTGCAGACAATGATAATCAATGGCAGCTTCTCAACTTGGAGAGAAGTTATGAGTGAGGTGCCACAGGGATCAGTTCTGGGACCAGTGCTCTTCATTATCTTTATGAATGATCTTGATGAGGAAGTCCAGGGAACAATAATTAAATTTGCAGATGGTACTAAACCGGGTGGAAAAGCTAACACCCTTGAAACAAGAAGATCCAGAGAGACCTAGACAAGCTTGAAAGCTTGGTGGAAAACAGCAGTGTGATGTTCTGGTTAAGAGCTCAGGGCTGGGACTTAGGCAATCTGGGTTCTACTATCCACTTGCCTGTGGAGCCAACTAGGTGACTTTGGGCCAGTGACAGACTGTCAGCCCAACCCCCTCACAGTGGTGTTGTTGCAGGGATAAGATAGAGAACAGGAGAGGGATGTAAGCTGCTTTGAGTTTGTTAAAGTGGGATGTAAAGCTAAGGAAGAAAGAAAGGAAGGAAGGAAGGAAGGAAGGAAGGAAGGAAATAAACAGTATGAAATTCAACAGGACAAATTTCAAGTTTTCCACTTAGACAAAACAAATCAGCTGCACTGGTGCAAGATGGGGAATACTTGGTTCAACAGTACTGAGAGTGGAAGGGACTTTGGTGTTGTTGTAGACAAAAAACTAAATAGGAGTTAGCAGTGTGATGCAGCCACAAAAAAGGCAGACACTATTTTGGGATGCATACATACCTCTGTTTGGTGGAAAACAACTGTGTGATGTAGTGGTTAAGAGTGGTTATCCAGAAATACAGAAGTGCTCATTGCCCTCTCCTTTGCATTAGTCAGTCCTCACCTGGAATAGAGCATTCAGTTTTTGGCACCCAGGTTTGAAAAGCATGCTGATAATCTGGAGAGAGTTCAGAGGAAGGCAATGAAGATGATACAGGGCCTGGAAAATAAGTCTTATGAGGAGAGGCTGAAAGAACTGGGCCTGTTCTGCCTTGAGTAAAGAAGACGACGAGGTGACATGATAGCACTCTGCAGATACCTCAAAGCTGTCACGGAGGAGGAGGAGGAGGAGGAGGAGGAGGAGGAAGAAGACCTATTCTCATTCGTCTCAGATTGTAGGACATGGAACAATGTACCTAAACTACTGTATACCAGGTGGAGGCTAGACACAAAGAAGACTTTCTTAACTGTAAGAGCAATATGACAGTGAAACCAGCTGTTGAGAAAGATTGCGTGCTCTTCCACACTAAAGACATTCAAGAAGCAATGGGATAGTTATCTGAGTGGGATGGTGTAACTGTCCATTGGCCTCAACCCCCTGCTATTGCAGGACACCAAGTTATACCATCCCACTCAGATAGCTGTCCAGTTTCTTTTTGAATATCTGTAGTGTGGGAGAGCCCACCACCTCTCTAGGCAGCTGAGAAAGCTTTTCCTGATATCCTGCCTGAATTTGGGTTGCCGCAGCTTGAATTGATTATTCCGTGTTCTGCACTCTGGTATCAGCAAGAAGAAATCTTGACCTTCCTCTTTGTGACAGCCTTTGAGGTAATTATAGAGTAATACCATGTGCCACCTCAGTCTTCTCTTACAAGAATGAACATGCCCAGTTCTCTCAGTCTCTTCTCATAGGTCAGTGTTTCCAAACCTTGGATTATTTTTGTTGCCCTCCTCTAGACTTTGGAGCCTTTCTAATTTTTCTGCATCTTTCTTAAATCTAGGTGCCCAGAAATGGACACAGTCTTCCAGATGGCATCTGACTAGTGAGGAGTATAGAGGAACTACCTCTTCTCATGATTTGGAAGTAATACTTTTGTTAATGCATCCCAAAATGGCATTTGCCCTTTTGGAAGCTGCATTGCACTGTTGGCTCATTTTCAGCCTTTTGTCCACAAATACTCCAAGATCTTTTTCTTTTTCAATACCAGTGATCCACATATTCCCCATCTTGTAATGATGCATTTGGTTTCTTTTTCCTAGGTGGAAGACTTGGCACTTGTCCTTATTGAATCTCATTCTGTTGCTTTCAGCCCCGTGCTCAAATTTATCAAAACCTCCCTGGATCTTCCTTATGTCTTCTAGGGAGTTTGCTATTACACCCAGTTATGTATCATCTGCAAATATGATTCTCTTTCCCTGTACCTAAAACATTAATAAAGCTGTTGAAGAGCTCTGGGCCCAGGACTGAACCATGTGGCACCCCACTAGTTACCTCTATCTAATTTGAGAATGTGCCAATGATGAGCACTCTTTATGTCCAATTTAGCAGCCAATTTGGGATCCACCTAGTAGTTTTTCCATCTAGTCCAGTTTTTGCTAATTTGCTTATCAGAATGTCATGTGGCACTATGTCTGATCATCATCAGACGGTTGGTTTGATGATCATCAAGCAGACTGATCATGCTTAAGGTTTTTCGTTCGTTGAAATATATGAGTCTTTGCCAGGCGATGCACATGCTGCACATCTCCCTTCTCTGTATGTTTGGTTTAAAGCTCTCCTGCTGAACTTTTTCATGTAGTGGCCAAATATCTGCTTCCCATTCTTTGTGAGGTGCAGCCCATCATTTGCCAATTGTCCATCTTCCCGGATCCTTCGCTTGTGGTCCTAGAATCCAGGTCTCTCTTTTCAACACTACCATCATAGCCAGTCATTCACTTGAAGAATCTTTCTTTCCCTAACAGTTCCACTTTCACGTACTGGTGGGATTGAGGAGAAGACTATCTGGACCCCAGTGTTTTTGATTTTTCTCCCTAGAGCTTCTGATGTTTTTTCAGCGAAGCTTCTCATGGCAGTCATTAGTTCTCACGTGGAAGAGAAGAAAAGGGTATTTGTCAGTGGGTTGTATGAGTCGTGTGAACTTGCTGTTTATATCATTAATCTTGGCACCAGGGAGACAGCATACTTGACTATTCTCTGGGTCATCGCGGCATACATATTTTTTCCATCCCGCGCAACAGAAAATCTCCCACAACTTGAACCATAAGTTTGAATGATGGTTATGTTGATAGGTTTTCCACAAATTCTGACTGATATTATTCAGGCTGATTTTGCATTATAGCTTCTTTCTGCCTGTGATATATTATTATTATTATTATTATTATTATTATTATTATTATTATTATTATTAGTATTATTATTATTATTATTACATTTCTATGCTGCCCCTTGCCGAAGCCTCGGGGTGGCTTACAACACAATAAGATATATTGAAATACAATAGAACATAATAAATTACCACTAAATACAAAAATACAAAAAATACACTGAGATACAATAATATAAAATTAAAATTAACAGTATAAAATAAGTAAATAAAGAATATAGGAGGAGAAAAGAGAAGGAAGAAGAAGTTGCCCTGGCCAGATCATATATTTTAACAATTAAAATGATGTTTAAATAAAAAGGTCTTTACCTGGTGCCGAAAAACCAGTAACGACGGTGCCAGGCGGACCTCTTTGGGAGGCTCAGTATATGACCATTTCTTCTGAAGCTCAGTTTGCAGAGTGAAACACTTGATATTTGTCTGAATGAAAATGTCCCATTTGAGTCCACTTTATTTCATTTGCACCAAGAACTACAAAGTGTAGCTGTTCTATTACCTGTTTTATGGTTTCCAGTTTGTCTTGACTCATATTTATGATGTTCCATGTTACAATTGTATGTGTTGTGCAGCATTGGACTTTCCTTTCAATTCTGCACCTATCAGCCACTAGACTTCCTTTTGGCTTTGTTCTGGTTGTGTCATTAATGACAGCACTTTTTGTATTTGTCCTTTGCTCTTTCCCAATAGTTTATTGAATGCCTGCCCACTTGTAAGTCTAATCTTGTGGCACTGTCTCTGGTTTCTTCTTGGATTATTTCATTACAGGATTTTCAAGATAAAAAGATGCAGAAGTGGCTTATCATCGCCACTTTCTCCTACACAGTACTAACCAGAGTTAGTTTGGATGTCGCTGCCATGTCTGTGAAAGATCCTTCTCTAGTGTCGCCTTCCACTATTGCTGCTGCGCAGCAGCTGCCCCTCAGAGGTTCTTCATCCCATGATCTTTAGAGAGATGCATTCTCTTCTGCTGATGCAGGTGTTTGTCCTGAAGGGGCGGATGCCCCTTAGTCTGGTGTTTCAGATTTAACCATTCTGCTTTCAGTGACCCTAACAGGAGACCAGCCTAGCAAGACAGACATTCTCAGATTGCCTCACTACATTAAGCTATACATCCAAGAGGGTGTGATTTTTCCTTATAGATATGTATACTGTTTTACTTACCTTCCCCTATTATTATTAATAATTATTATTGAGTCCCAATCACTGGATGTAGGTAGGATATAAACAAACAAATAAGCCCAGAGACCAGTTAAATTACTAACAGCCTGGTATGATCTCAACAACTTTATATATTCACCTCTATATATACCTCTTTGTATGTTCTCTACCTCCATTTTTTTTCTTTTTCCAGGATAACCATGAGGAAGATTATTTTCTCTATGTGGCTTACAGTGATGAAAGTGTGTATGGAAAATGAGCTCATTACTTGCTGGCCTCACAGATGTGGTGGACTGAAAGGACTGTTGTGAGAGGAATTTTGTGTCAGAGAAAAGCAAGAAGTGGAAGAAAGAACTGGACACCAAACCACATATTTCATGCCATAATTTCCTGCACCTTTATTATTTCTTCTTACAATTATTTTATTTAACCACTGGGGGGAAAGGGAGGCTTTTAATAGCTATCTGGTGTTTGGTGTTTTGTAACAGAGATCCCTAGCCAAGTTCCCTCAGTTTCTATTTAGCTAACTGGTTCTTCTGCGAATGCCCAGGAAGGGGAGAGGGCAAAGATGTGTGTCACAAGTGATCCTGCTAGGACTGCCAAAGGGAATTAATGGCAAGACAACTATCGCTGACTGGACCACCTCCTGTACCTAACGTTTAACTTACTTAGCTTTAATGCTCATATGCATGAAAAAGATATACATTCCTGTTTTCTGAAGCCATTTATTCTTCTTCTTGCCCTGGCCCCAGTGGCATGTGTGTTGCACTTTCCCCCCATTCATGTGTAGAATCTTTTATACTCCACAGTTACATACTCCACTAGCAAGCTGCCAGTCTGTTGTAAACAGAATCATGTGCATGACACTCAATATGAGGAATTTGTAGAGTAAGTTTAGCCAACTTAGACAATGACAGCACACCCCCTTTTGCAAAACTCTGAACTGGGCATCCATCATAGTCTCATCAACAGCACGAGTGTTTTCTGATGTTACCACTAAAAGCCTGTTCCCTTCCAGATCACTTCAAACCTGTACTATGCTTCCCTTCCTTTTGATTTACTATCTGTACAGCTTGGAGGTGGAGGTCACCAGGAGCTAATTTTCACTCACAGCTGAGCCCTAAGCATACATCTTACAGTCCTTTGTGAAAATACATTATTCTTCTGGACTCTGTGGTTTCAAAAGGTGAAGAAATGCATTAAATAAAAATACTATGTTGGAATGCCAAAGCAGTTCCTTTTGAATGCCGGAGTGGTATTCCCCTCCTCCTCCTCAATACACTGGGGGTTCTAAATCGGGGTGACATGGGGAAATTTAGGACATTTTATGTTTATTATTTGTATTTCTACCCTGACCATCAGCCCAAATGATTTAGTTATTGTAGCAGCTTTCCTTGTTTTACAGTAATGTTAAGGCTAAGGCCAAGATGGGGAAATACAGAAGCTGAAACCACTAGACAAGGTTAATTGCTAGAAAGAGGAGGCCAACTGTTTGCCTAAGGAAATTTGAGTGATAGGTTTTGTTGACATGTCTGTAGTGTTATGGAAATTGTTGTTAGCCTTTGCTTCCTTGTTTGAATTCCCATGCTTATTGTTTTGAGATGACATATCCACTAATAAGATCTTCAGATAGCAAGGGGTCCAGTATAATAGAATTTAATTAGGTGATAGCAGAAGAATTGAGGCTGTAAAGGATTTTTTTTTGAAAAAGGAGTTGAAATACACTTGCGGAGTTGAAGGGTCCTTCCTTATGAGAACAGCTGGTAGTGTGCCAGTAATGAACGATTGACATCCAGTAAAATATTAACAAGGCAGTGAAGACCAAGAGGGGAACACTGGGATTGAGGGATTGAGTGATTTTTTATAAGTCCACTCCAGATACACATTTCATGGTGACTGGTTCTGCACAAGGTGCTATTTTCTTGCCACTGCAAATTCCAATTTACTCCCATTGCCTTGGTGTTCCTTATCTTTATATTCCAAATAGGAAAGTTATATTCTAGATTCTTTCAACTCAAGGAAGTCCAGTAATTCCCACATAAGTCAAGGCATGTCTGTGTTCCAAGGCACTTCCACATATTCTCTACTTGTCTGCACTTCGGGGAGGCACAAGGGAAAAGGGAACTGGATGAGAACTCTTGAGCTTTGGTATCTGTCCGTCTTTAATTTTAATGTAAGGCCAATAGAAAATAACTTGGAACTTTAAAGCCATTATCTTCTGACATTCTTTGATAATGGGCTGCTAGGGCAATATAGTCCAGTGTATGCTTATTACATTCAAAACACTTTAATTCATGGTATATTAGTCTCAATGGATCTCTGTACTGTGACAGAACTGACTGAGCAGTTGTTGAGTTTCCAATTCTAGTACCTGATGGAGCACAAGGCTTATGTGGAAGAGGAGGCAAATGTGGTGTCTGAGATGAAGAAGAGCTCATTGGAGAAGGTGAAAACATTTGGGTTTCCGTGACTATCTTTAGGGAACAATGTGGCCACTGAGAGATGCATCACCAAAAGCATCAGATAATTCCCTAGAGATAGCTGTGACTGTCTCTGGAAAAAAATGTGAATATCTCTAGCAAACCTCTATCTCAAATGAAAGGCCATGAATATCTCTAGGGAACTGCATGATCACTGATGATGCATTGCCAATTGCATCACATAGTTCCCTAGAGATATTCACATCTTTTTTTCTAGAGATGAAACTAAGAAAAATGTTACTTTGGGATGGGGCATAACTGTGCAAGGCCCAAGCCAGGCTCCACATTATTGTATCTACAGGGGCCAGCATCCTGTGGAAACCTCCATCCTTCCAGCTTTAACATAAAGCAGCATGTAAGCATCCCTGCTCCTGCAGAGTTGTGAGGATGTGATGTTAACAACTTGTCCACATTACAGGTAAGGCAACAGAGAATCCTCTCCTGGCATGTCAGTGACTGTATCCTGTAGCTTACCTCTGAATAAGTCTCCACCGTATAAGAGTTGCTCTCAGGGGCTTTTCAAGGTGGGAAGGAGTCCTTGGTGAAGCATTATTAGGGAGGTCTCCTCCTCTAGCTGGATCCTAGCACTGAGTGGCTGCTCCTAGACACCATTTATCTGCCCTCAGAGAATGGCTGGGATGCATTGGAGACACTGAAGATAGCACAACATTGGAGATGACTACGCTCGGCTTGCGTTGTTGCTGCAGTCTACTCAAGAAGCGCTTTGAAACTGGAGTGCCTTTGCTCTACTTTTAGAGCTGGTGTTTTCCTCTTATGAAAGTTGTCCTACAAAAGAGGAGCACACAGGCTATGCACAGGCATTGTCAACAAGGTATTCACTCTGAAAAGCCAGTGTCTCCTGCTCTGTCTCTTGACCTCTGCTCTGTTCCTATCTTATCTCTGACATTTCTTGGGACTGTCAAAAAGCCTCACTGTCCATTACTCCTTGCCACAGCTATGGGACAAATGTATTCCCAACAGCCAGCCAAGCAAACTTTCCTAGGCAGATGCACACATGCAGTTTCTTGGGAAACTCCTCCCAGCAGGACATGCTGTCTGCCTCCCTGGCACAGATGCTCAACATGTGCCTGGCTGCAGCAAGGAGATGGCACTTTCCAATGAGTGCAAGTCTTGTATACAGGGGTGGTGTGGACACATCTGTAGCAGGGAGAAATGGCTTGGCATGGCATGGCGCCTACAAGGCCATTGAGTCCAACTCCCTGTTTGGCTTTGTTGAGAGTGAGGGCCAGTGTGGCACAGACTCTTCAGATGAAGAGGAAGAGGCTTGGGAAATGAGGCCCACAGAGGGAGAGATGGCATAAATGGAACAGCTTATCACTGCTGTCTCCAGGTGTTTGGGCTGACCCTGAGAAGAGGCAGGGTCTGCCAGTGCCAAGAGCAGAAATGAGAAAAGAGCCAGAGGAGCCTGCTATGATCCTTGATTTGATAATGTGGCATCCAGAGAAGGGCTAGCCAACTAAAGGAGCTGCATACAGCCAAGAGGTTGGCCAGTTTTTAGAATGGCACTCCTGGAAGGGTGGAGTTATTCAAAAGGAGGGTGCTTGGAAATAGTTTCTAGCTTGAGTTCAACAAATCTCTCTGTGAATGCTCAGAGACTCTTCACTGTCTATAATTTGCTGGGTGTAGAATGGGCATGAAGAACTTTTGCCAAAGAATGGCCTGTTCTTCAGAAAGAGTGAAAGGGGAGACTTAGCTCCTGATAGACTTCAACATGTGATCATGCATCTGGCTGCAGGCCCATGCCTTTCCAGCTTAGCAAAGGTGACTGAACATACTATCTCCATATATAGCTCTTCAGGCAGGTTAGGAGGTGAGGTGGACATGCTTGCACGGCATGAAGTGTGGCAGCACAGGGGAGTGCTGCTCTAGAGTTACTCTAGCTCATGGGTCCTCAAACTACAACCTGCGGGCTGGATACGGCCCATCATGCTCATTTATCCAGCCCACCTCAGAGCTTTTGGACTCACTTGGAGAAAACGATCTCTGAGTGAGTTCGAAAGCTCTGAGCTGGCTCAGGCAGCCAGAAGATAGAGAGAGACGAAGAAAGAGTCTGAAAACTCTGAGCTGGCACACGCGCCGATTTGTAACATCTCAACTGCGTGTGTGGCGGCTCTTTCCCCCCATTGCATGCATATTCAGAGCAGGAATACAGAGCAGGAAACAGATTAGAGGAGGGCGGAAGAGAGAGAGAGAGAGAGAGAGAGAGAGAGAGACGACGAAATTAAAAAAGGATTGAAGGTAATAAAAATAGAACTTTTAAAATCTATATTTAATTATGTGAGCCATGTCCCCGGGCTGGAGGCCAAGCTGCTGCCACCTTGCTGAGCCCAGGGGCGGGCAGGCTGAGGCAGAGCGGGGCCGCGGCTACCATGCCTCCACCTCTGTCTACTCCGAGCAAGCCACCACCATCGAAAGGCTGCCATGCTTCACCCTGCAGCGGAGAGAGGCAGGAGGCGCCCTGCTCAGCCAGCCATGGCCCCGTCCTTCACCTCCCCTTGCCTCGGAAAGAAGCCCTTACTTCCCCCCTCGCGGCCCATTCCCGACTGAGGGAGCTGCACTGTGCTCGCCATTCCGGCCTCCCGCTCCCTCGGAACCAGTGGCGAGGACTATAATTTCCATCATTCCCAACCAGCATGGTCAATGGAAGTTGTAGTCTAACTTATCTGGACAGTACCAGTTTTGGCAAGGTTGCACTTAAAATATGGTAGTCCTTAGCTCTGCATCCAAATACAGCCATTGTGTATTGTGGGAATTGTTCTGGGCTGACTTGTTTCAAATGCTAAGAGTGGCATTAACATTATTTATCCTTAGTATTTTTGCTTCATTCTTTGTAAATTCCAGTTGCAGTCATCAGCTGCATTATGCTAAATACTGTATTTAGTGCCTTGGTTGTGTTGTAGCTAGGTCCTTTGAATATGGACATGCTCTTCCCCACCTCATCCTGGGCTTCTGCTGCAGCCTGAGGGAGCAGAGCAAACCCTTTTAAATTTTTAATTTTTAAATGTTAATTATTTTTAATTTATTTTAATCTTAATTAATTTTTAGTATGCAGTGTGCATGGGAATTCATTCATATTTTTTTCAAACTATAGTCCACCCCTACAACAGTCTGAGGGACAGTGAACTGGCCCCCTGTTTAAAAAGTTTGAAGATTCCTACTCTAGATCAACAGTGCTACTCTAGTCAAAAGCAGAGTAGTCAAAAAAAAAAAAAAAAAAAGACCCAAACCTAAACAAAAACAAACCAGGAACAGCTGCCTAAGACTATGCCCAGAGGTTATACTAGCCAATGAGGGAAAGGCAGGTGATGGAGGCAGGAGCAGTGCATGCTGGGATTGATTTCTCTCAAGAACACATCCTGTCAAACTAAAATGATTTTGCTTCTTGACTGAGTAACCTCCCTGATGGACTGTGGAAATGCTATGGACATAACCTATCCCGACTTCAGCAAAGCTTTTGACAAAGTGCCTTAAGATATTCTGATTAGCGAACTAGCTAAAAGTGGGCTAAATGGAACAACTATCAGGCGGATCCACAGCACTAGACTCAAATACTGCTCATCAATTGCACATGTTGAGCCTTGAGAAGAGAAAACTGAGGGGAGATACGATAGGACTCTTCAAATACTTGAAAGTTTGTAATGAAGAGGAAGGACGGGATCTCTTTTCAACCATCCCAGAGTGAAGAACAGGCTCAAATTACAGGAAGACAGATTCTGACTAGATGATATG